CGGCCACCGTTTCATAGGGAAGCATTTTGATGAACTGTGAATGCGATTTTCGTGATCAGTATTCAATTCTGAGTCAGAAAAAGTGTCATTTAGCCAGTTTAGAGAAAAAATATTTTTCGACGTCCCTGAGGGGGACCTTTGCCCTAAAATTTTTCGAAAAAAATTTGAACGATCTGAGAATACAGTTTTACTCAGAATTCGACGCTGATTCCGAATATGTATGACTCATTGCGTAATTTTTTGGGCACGAAACCTTACATTCTGCCACTTGTCCATTATCCTATAGTTATCTCGTTCTTCTAGACTTCCACCTGCTCGAATCTGTTCGACGAACTACAGATGAGGATGTCAAAGACTTTATTTATAGAGTTAGCGAAGAGCACGATGAATACAAGTTTCAAAAATACATATCTCGAAATATTGTAACACTAGGGCGCACTCGTTCTGGAAAAACAACTATGGCGAACGTTATTCAAAATGTAGCATATGTACCACCTGAGGTACAGCTTTGTTCAGATACCAGAAGAAGTGTTGAAGTTCGCAGTTTGATACTCAGTAGTATGCATTCGATGTATAATATTAATATCATCGATACACCGGGATTTTACCAAAGAGTTCGAGAACTAGTCATGCCATTAACAAATGATGCGACCAAAACATAACAATCACTCCGCAAACAACCTAAACCACGTATTACGTACATTTATTATATTCAGCGTATTTAGGATATTTAAGGTATTTGAACGATTAGAATATTTAGGGTATTTAGGATATTTAAGATATTATCCAAACGGCTAATCCAAAACGTGTTCTCAACTCATTAGGGAGAAACAGGAGAGACCTCGATCTTGAAATCTGGTGAATTTTGTGGAAGTTTTTATGACAGTTAGCTATTTTTCCCTCGATAAAAACGTACAGAAAATACAATTATCAAAAACGAAGCATAAGTATTGAATCTCAAATAGTAGTTTATTTTAAAAGACTTTGATCCAAGTTTTAATTGCCGATGAACTTTTCAGACTCTCTTGACGTACAGGAAAACATCAGACTTCAAGATTTCAACATAGTTTGAATTCTTAGACGATTTCGAAACACTTCAAAACCGAAGTCTCCGATATTTCTTACTTAGTCTCAGCTTAAAAAATATGCGTTCTGGATTAGTATTAGTTACAAAAGAATGCTTTTCTATTTTGAAAAATTCGCGATTATCCCTATTCATCGAACAAGAAAGATTTGATTAACCCGTTCTAGACGATGTGATTCTACAGGGTTTCCAAAAATGTTTTTCCAAAGATTACAGCTCAAATGCAAACAGATATACAAGTGATTTTTATGTCAAATGAGAGCCCACTAAAAACGGGATTTAAGAGTATAACCGATAATTCATCGGGCGATAATAAGCCATAGAATCACGGAAAGTTTCAAAAATGTTAGAGATGTTACTAGTGTACTTCCATGGGTAGTCATCCATATAACAAAACGTTCTCGGAAAATGTCTTCGTCTATCTTTGTGGAGCTATCTGGGCTGATCATTTTGATAAAAATATATTCCAAGTTTGACCACTAAATGACGATGCTATGATTAAAATACTGAAAAACGTTGTAGCTCTAGCACTAGGGGTGTCACTTTACTGTTACCTTCCTAAGTAATAAGTAATAATAGTTGTTACTTATTACTAGACGATAAAGTAATAATAGTATTTCTTGTTACTAAGTGATAAAATAATAATATTATTACTTATTCATGGTAATAAAGTAATAATATTTGATTAACTTATTATCCCATGAGGAGG